ACACCAGATTCTGGAGGAGGTAATATCTAAACTAAGACCTCAGGGACATGTACAAGCAGGTCAGTGGAAATTTCACATTCCCCAAGAATAATAATTCCGTTCCATGGTCATAACTTTAAGTTGAAAGTATTTTGAAAATAGAATTCTTAATGTTTATCTAAATTCTAGTTTTGTTCATTTTCTTGACTAGATCTTAAACTTTCATGTGAGAAGTTGTTTTAAAAAAAACATTGATTTAAAAAAAATAATTTCTCCTTAATACACTGTGAAGTTTGGATTACAGGATAAATAGAATTATTAACATTTAGTGTGTTGTAGATCAGGTTTCTACTTGAAAGAGTTCAAATTCATCATGTTTACACATAAAATTTGATATTAAATTATCTCATTTTAAGTGGTAGCTATTAATAACAGAAAATTCAAATATAGCACTTTAACAAATAAGCTTAGTTTTTCATGCCTTTTGCGGTTTTATTATAGCTAGTCTGACCTAAGGTCTAGACAGACCAACTGTGCCCTTGGGTTAAGGGGTGTTTGTCACATGATTCCCTTTCCTTCCTTATGGCCCTTTATTTCTTTCCAGTTGACAGAGATGATAAATAGATAACTATTGCTTCTCAGGCTTCCTCTTTCTGATAGGAAGATAGATTTTTTTTAAGCATGAGGGGCTAAATCTAACTCCATAATTTACAAAAAGAAGTATAATTGGCAAGTTTTTCGAGTCTGCTTTTAAAATTACAATTCCCCTTATTCTTCATGAGCTTTCTGTTCAGATAAACCAAAGACATTAGGCACTTCAATTTAAAAAGAATTAAATTGGCTTTATTGATGGTTAAAATCTACATTTTATAATAACAATCTAACAATGATAGAGCACCCAAATCAGTAGTGGGTCTAGAAGAAGTAAATACATATTAAATAAAATAAAAATATTTTAGATTACATACTGTCTTTTCTCAAAATCAAATTTGAAATGTAAAGCATTTAGGATTTTCCTAAGGATGCTTACACAGTCATGGGGGAAATAATTTTTACTCTAAATTTAAATCCAAAGCTCCTCTATGGAGCCGCTGGCCCTGCAGACCTAGCCAAGGCCCTTTTCAGTGTCCTAAGTGGATTAGCTATTAGATTTATTAGTGGCTCAAGAGGCACAAGTAAGTACTTCCCTCTTCCATCTCTAGCCAGGCCCAACCAGTATGGAGGGAACTTTCCTCCACTTCACAACTTAGATTTGGACCTATTCAGTTACCACCAAGGAACGCAGCTGTGCCAACCTAGAAGTAAAAACAGCTTCACACAAGTTCTCTACATTATAGCTCCATTTGGGATGGTGCTGAGAGTATCTTCACCTTCATGTGACCCAAACAATTCTAGGCATTATGTAATCTGTGTGGGATTCTGAAGACACCGTTTAACAATTCTGGATCTGTGCTGTCCTCCAGATCAAAACAGAAATAAGGACTAGAACAACATCAGTGTGCATTCGTTTATGTATTTCAAGCCCCGAGGGAAAAACTGACTGTAATAGTTTTTACTTATATTTGCAAACTTTGCATTATATGTGAGCTCAGGTCATCTGCAAGGTCTCTTTAGAATCCTTAAAAAGTTGATACTGCCCACGTGTGATGTTTAAGGAGCCTACAACACCTCAGCCTGCTTGCAGTTGAATAATGGTATTCATTTTCCATTTCCTGATTGTTTCGGTTAAGTATGGAAAAGGATCCTTCATTTTACACTCAGAGCAATGGGCTGTATTGCTGCTCATATTACTTAGATCCTACTGCCTTCCTCTCCAGTCATAGGAATGGTGCTTTAAAAGGCTGGTTAAGGTTGCTTATTGTGGCTGTTAATATTGTCATTGTGTTTCCTGATTTAGAGATGCTCTGTGAATGTCCAGCACATGACTGGCTCTTGGATGAGCTGTGGAATATCGAGTGGATATCTTGAACAAGCCATCTTTCTATCTGCTTACTCTCTGCTTAGCTTAGCCCCTTAGCTTAAACGGACTAGATATCTTCTCCTGTTCCCATACAACTAGGACAGTACTGATGGCTTCCACTTAGCAATGCTTACTTTATAGCAGGCTCTGTGCTAGTTCCTTTACATGCCTATAACATGTCATTCGCATAAACAGTCCTATAGGGTAGGTAACATGATCATCATTTTACAGACAGGGAAAATGGGACTTGCTTAAGAGCACACAATTGAAGAGAGGGAGCTGGCATTTGATTCCAGGTTTTCCCCGCAGCAAAAGCTAATCACTTAACCATCATCCTACCTTATATAACTCTGCTGTTGTCCAGAACTCTGTGAGCCCCAGACCTACGGATCACTGATCACATGAATAGCTTCTCTTAGTGCTTGGCACCACTTCACACAGGCTGACCCCATTGACCAAACCTCAGAACCATCGTGTGTCACTAGCTTCAGAGGGCAAATGCTGATTATGGTTACAGGCCACAAGGAAACTGAACTGCTATCAAGAGAAACTCTATATTGAATCATTTTATCTGCACAACAAAAATGATTTCCCTCACCCCCACCCCCACCAGCGCCTTGGGATGTTAGGCACCCCCTCAGAGTTCGCCTCTCCACTCCTATCTCCTTTCCTTTGCCTGGTGGTGGTGTTGTAACAGTGTCTTTGGCAGGGTTGGCAGGTAACTCACTTATTTACTTCGGGTGCCAATAAATAACTATAGCCTGTTAATAATTGTGCATATGTTTTATGTGGCCTTTGATAATCTGAGACAATCTTACCCATCTGGAATCTGAGATTGGATCAATATTCCTTCATACCTGATCTCCTATTATATAACTCTCTATTAGCAAAAAGTAGATCACATAAGGAAAAGAATTTAATCCTTAAAGTCATTTATTAGGCCATTTTATAAGTGAGGCACACTCATGTGCTCATGACTTTAACTGAGGGTTGCCTAAATATCAATTTTTGCTCAATAAAATAAAAGAATAAACCTGATATATGTTTTCTTTCTTTAAAGTGGACTAGATCTATCACAAATGCCTTAAACTGTATTGTGTTTACATCTTTTTATGAGCTGTGTGTACCTATTGGGGGGGTGGTTTTGTTGTTTTAAGACTGTTTTTTAAGAGCAGTTTTAGAGCAAAATTAATAGGTAGGTGTATGTACATATTTGTTAGCATTTTTAAATAGTTAGCTCTGTGAGGGTAAGGTGTGTTCTCCTTTATCTTTTAGCATGTCATAATGCCAAACACAATGCTTCGCATGTAATAGATGCTCACTAAATATTGTTGACTTAGTGAATAAATTAGTCTGTAATAGGTTGAACAGATTTGCAGTCCTAAATTGTTCTTGCCATCATTTCACTCTGCATAATTAAAGAAGTTTTACTAAGATGATTAAAAATGTGTTATTGAATTCCTCGTGTAGATTCTGTAGCAGTGAGATGAAAGAGACCCTGGCGGTACCCCTATGAGGAAACAGTGAGGACGCGTTTCTCACTGTAGGTCCACTTAGTGGATTTGATGTGTGACTGAATTAATTTATTTCAATTAGGAAGGTTAGATTTATGATTTCCATATGGCACTCATAACTTTTTTCTTCTACCCCTCCCCTGCCAACTAATGTTTTTTCCTACTGTAAAAGTAATGTTTATTGCAGAGATTAACTATATGTGAAAGTAAAAAAAATCATAGATAATCTTATTATTCAGATATGATCACTCAATGTTTGTGTGTGTTCTTTGTTTTTCTTTTTCTCATCCACACAATTTCATTATGTCCATGCAATTGGCACTGTATACATTTATATAATATTACAGTAACACAAGGTACCTTGTGGCTTGATGAAAAATATTCCTCTGTGTGGATGTGCTATACATTATTTAATTATTTTTCTACTGTTGGACATTTAGGTTGCTTTAAGTGTTTTGCTGTCATAAAAATTATCTTTTTGACATAAATCTTGTTTGGTTTTCCGTGATGTAAGATGGATTCCTGGAACTAAAATTACTGAGTAGATTTTGAACTTTGAGTTTTTGATACATGTTACCCAATAGTTTTCCAGAAAATTTTTAGCAATTCGCGCTCCCATCAGGAGTGTATGAAGATGGTGTCTCACTGAGTCATCATCAAAGTTGATTATTTCCTCTACACATTTTTGAGCAAGTATTATCAACTAGGCCTACTGACTTTAATCTTACCTTCATCAACTCTGCGCAGAAGTATATAAATTAAACACTTCAATTTTCTTTCAGGAAGAATTATGAAACATTTTTAAGGGTCAGAGTAGTTCGGAGACTGCATGTGGCAGTGCAGTTTCCATCTACCTGCAAATATTTTTCGGGTCTAATTGTAAACTCTGCCTGCTTTGTTTAAGCTGGACTTACCTTGTCTTCTGTGTTGGTAGCTGCTTCATTGGCAGTGTTGTCAAAGTGTGCTGGGTTGAGTCATTATGTCTGGTGTGGCTTTAGTTCTCCTCTTGTAGGGATCAATCTCATTTCCATTTGCTGTTGTAACTTGAAGTTAATGAACATTCAGAGTTTACTTTTATTTATTTGTGCATTTTTTGTGGACTGCTCTACAAAAGCACCTTTCTGCCTCCCCAATATTCTATCCAAACTGAGTGCCGATGTACTGAGTGGTTTCATTTTAGAGAGTAGCAGTCATATTTGTATCAGGAAGGCAATAGTCTTGGAAGAATACAAAAAAAAAAAAATTTAAATATTTGCCTCGTCTGCTAGTGAAAGCATTTTCATTTCAGAGGCCATGGTTAGTCTTAGTCCCTTGCTGGTCCTTGTTTTTGATAACACTGCCAAGAGACTCTATGTGTGTATATATTCACACATATGAATTTAGGGTGATATGAAATATCCTATGGGGAAAATACAGACATAAAATAACTCACCTCTTTAAGGACTGTAGTCTTTTCTACTTCTCTGCATAAATTGTCTCAGCATAAATACTAGCTCCACTTAGAAAATTCATTTTTACGTACATAATATATTTGTTTTGCATTTCAGAGTCCCTGATAAATTGCAAGTCTGTCTGCGCCCCATAGCTGCACAGGTATGTATATGAATTACCTATAGTTACGTAAGTCTCTGTATTAACTAACAAATTATTACAATTTCGTGTATTAAATTTGCTTACAGATTTGCTAATGTGAAAATGTTAATTTTTGAGTCCTTACAAATATTGACAGCTTCAAAGGATAGTACATTTTATACATACCTTGCATTTCACTCTATTGTAAGAATCAAATAAACATTCTAAGATTTGATGAAGCAGAATAATTTTAATTACAAAGCATTCATCTGATGAAGAGATGAGAGAGTGTTTTCTGAAACTGTACCATTAAAGCGACTGCTGATATGGGGTCAGAGACTATTGCAAAACCCCTGTTTTGGACGTGACTCTTTTATTTTCAAACTTTTTTTGCTGCTTTTGAGTTTATTTTGTGTGGTGGTTGCTTTAGGTAAGGGGCGGTTGCAGATGTACTGTCTGCGGCACTGCGTCAAGCACTAGAAACAAGAAACAGAAAAAAATGTTTGCACCTGTTTAGAATCTCAACTGTGCCGTGTTGTGGTTCCTGGGCAACAGGCTGGAATTCTCAAAAGCTTGGTTGCACCTGCTCAATTGTTGCTTGCAGCTGTGTCCTCTGAGTGAGAGCACAGAGAAGCTTGTTAGCAGTTTGCTTGGGTTGTTACGTATTTTGTGTACTCTGAGTTTGAAAGATTCTTACTTGATGTAGACCTTGAGCTATTACGTTGGCTTTTTATAAAATTCACTGCTTTTAGCTCCCAAATATTTTCTCCAAATCCTTCGTTCTGCATTTCAAATATTTTTTTAGTAGCTGTTGACTGCCCTGGATAATGTGTATGTTAACTTCTCTAAGGGATACCTGGGGAAAGTAGATCTCTCTAGATAACTGGGTTGATAATTATTTTTGTCCTGGTAGAGACATTTTGTGTTTGGCTCAATTTCACCATGTTGGCAATCCCACTATGTGAGGCTGGATGTAGTTATTGATCCGTTTAGCTGAACAGATTTGAAAGCATTTGGCTATTAGTGGACACATGGGGCATATTCAGAAAATTTAAGGGTATATTGTAAGATGATTTCTTGATTTGTGCGTGTGTCTCTGTTGCTGTTGGGTGGAAGTGAGAGAGAAATAGTGAAAATTAAATAGTAACCCTAAAAAAGGGGCTAAAGTACAGATGTGGCTTTCAAGGCTGGAGTAATATCCTTTACTTTCATCAAATCCTAGTTACCTGTTATTTTTTCCTAAGTGTTGCTGATAGTGATGTTTCTTTTAGTTAATAGCTCTATGTATTTTCTGACAAATATCTATATTTCTACTGTAGACAAGCTGTTATAGACTGTGTCTTACACTAGTTAGATACAGTTCTATAAATGCAAACTGAAAAGTCCTAAATACTAGTTACTTGTTATATATTTGGGATGGGTCTTGATGGACTTCCTTTAGTTCTCATACTGCTGATTAGACAGAGAGATGAAACTACTGAGAAGTTATTTCCTTATAATGAGAAATGACTATGTAAGAATTGATCCTCATTATAATTAAGAGTTGACATAACACTATTTGCAATATGCTTTATATTCATTTTTGCTGACTGTGAGAAAAGTCTTGATATCTATCCCTATTGTACACACAATGCTGAGGCATTCAATGACTAAATTACTTGTCGCCTTGGAAATACTTTGCATCATGGGAATAAACAAATCTTCTGTGTTCTGTGATCAATGCCGTAGGTTTCCCAAAAAATCAGTTTGAGCAATCTCTCTCCCTCTCTTTCTCTCTGTTTCTCTCTGTCTCTCACCCTCTCTCTCCCCATATCTCTATCCTACTGAAAACACAAACATAAAATGTATGTTGACCCTCTTCAAGTCAGATAAGATCAGATCATATTAAAAATCTGTAGCTGTTTTTGTTAAACAGAAGTAATGGGCCCTGTGTTTACTGTATACATGTTTATAATTATGATTTCTATTATTCACTAAATTATAACTGTAAATAAGTAGAGATAAAGCCAAACAGAGGCAGAGTCAAAATAAGGTAGTTAAGACTTGCTTTAGATAGGCCCCTCTAAAGTTCCATTTTGTGTGGTATGAGGCAGTCACATAAAATGGCAGAGCTTGCATAATGAGCCAATATCTATTGCATCAAAACATCTTCTTTAGGCTTCTCAAATTTTAGTGCCACTGGTTGATGATATTCATGTATACCCCTGGTCTTGGAAGTGCCTTTCCTCTGGGAACAATTTTTCTTTCATCTTAATTTACATCAGTGGATGAGAGGCCAAAATCAAGGACATTATTTTTTTCCAGAACCTTACTGTGGTAAACTGTATTCCTCTGTTAGTCTTAATTAGGAATTAAGAGATGAGCCAAGAACATGTATTAGCTAGAATGCTAAACCAGAGTATAGCAGCTCCTTCAGTGACTTGTACCAGGGACTGTAGTATGGAATTCCCAGGAGGGAGAGATCACCAAGCACTAGGATTCCTGGACATAATTGCAGGTTACCCTATGATTTCAGGATTAGAGAAATGAAGGAAGAAAATCAACATTTATTGAGAACATAGCATGTCTAGATATAAAGTCTTTCTTTCTTTATCCCCTTCCTTCCTTCCTTCCCTCCCTTCCTCATTTCCTTCCTTCCTTTTATTCCACACAGTAGATAGACGCCTACTATTTGCCAGACCCAGTCCTCAGCTAAGTAAATAAAACAAAGTCCTTGCCCTCAAAGAGCATAAAGGCCAGTAGGAGACAAAGATATGTCAACAGAGCTCTTTTTGGCTCATCACTTATTGTTAGTATGGACCTAGTCAAGCCACCTAATCTTTCTGTTCCTTTGTTACTCTTTTGGAAAATTGTAAAAATAATAATATCTACCTCATACATTGTTGTGTTGAGTTAGATATAACACAATACATGTAAAATTCTTAGTGCAGTGATTGGCACTTAGCAAGTGCTCAGTGAATCTTAGCTACGCTACTATTATTTCCATCACCACCATCATACAAGTTAGTTGCTGAAGAAAGCCCATCTGATTGCCTGAGAACAGGGATCCTGGTCTGGAGGGATCCTGGTCTGGGCATTGTCACATAGATTATATCAGATGTTCTATCCAAAGTTACCGCTACTTCTAGGAGTTTAGAAGAGATTCTAAAAATCGTACCGTGTTAGAACTTGAAGGGAACTTAGTGGTCACCTAACATCTTTATTTTGTCCATAGTGAGGAAATAAGCTCAGAAAAGTTCACGTGCTTGTCAGGGTTATACGGTCTAGTAGGTGAGAGAGGCGGGATTTGAACGCAGAATTCTTGATTCTTGCTTGAGTGTAAGATACCTCATGTTGGAAAAATATTAGAGTTAAAATATTTTTTTCTACTGGTGATTGGAGGGTTAATTGCTTATCTCCAGGAAGTAAATGGACTATGTCAAGGTGCTGAAATACTAACTATAAGACAAGCTATCATTGTACTGCATCTAAAAGACCTTCAGTTATTCTTATAATGGAATTAACTTAATCTAAATTGATTGAAGCCTTTTGGTTTGTGTTTGTGAATAACTGGTTTCTTCCTAAGGAGGATAAACTGAGTCAGGTTTAGCAAGATATCTACTGTCTACATACGTGACTTCCGATGCTTTAAAAGAGTCTGTAAATACCTTAAATAAATCAGCATCTTGGAAGCCAATGATGCTTTTACGGTATCTAGATTCTGAATCTGTTGCCTGAGTTTGAATTTAAGAGCTTTGGAGTCCAAATGACTTTCACTGAAATCCCAGTTCCACAATTTGGTAGCTGTGTGACCTGATCAAGGTTGCCTAACCTAACTAAACCTCAGGTTTTCTTATCTAAAATATGATGGTAACAATTATCTACCTTTTTATGGAGGGATGCGAGAATTAAAGTAGATTAGATATACAAAATACTTTATTTAGTACATAACATACACTAGTATCCCCTACATATTATTTTTTCCTCTCTCCTCCTATTAAAATATAAAAGTTGTTATGATGGGCAGTATAGGAATTTAGAGGAAGTGTGGGATTCACCCATTAAGAAAATTAATTTTGGCAAAGTTACATGTTTGATGATAGCCATTGAGTATCTCAGTTCAGTGTAGTTAGACTCACCATTTCTAACTATGCATGCTACATGTCTGTAGAAGGCTGGGGCTATTTAAAGAAAACTGAAGAGGAGGATAATCACATCCACTTCAATGTCTGTTGATTATGGAAATGTGCCTTGCAATGGAAGGGCTGTTGATACAACTCCCGGACAACTGTCACCCCTCTTTTGAAAGTCAGATACCCTTAAAACCAATCTCTTGCAAACAATAAAGAACACATACTCACCAATTAGACCATGTACTTTTACATGCATCCTAGTGAACCAAAGGTGGTTCTGTTGGCAAAGTTGTCACAATCTACACAGCCTCAGGTTTAGTGAGCATAGTTGGCAATGAGTAAATGGCTGTATAAGGCTGTCTTTATTTCTTGAGAAGGAAATTAGTGTGGTAAAATGTCCCTGATACCCTCCTATGCAAACTCCCTCAACAGTAGAAAAATGGATTTGTGAATTTGTGTGTATGATTTTCTCCTTAATTATCTTTAATAAAATCTAGATGATCTTAATTACAGTAAACCAGTTTTTTTTTTTTTTTTTCCTGCCAGGCTGTTTATATTGCAGCAGTGTCTTCCTGAACAGAATCAGAAAAAAGTAAGGGAAAAAGCACTAGAGAATACATGGGATAGACCATTATTCAGCAGAGTTGATAAAGTTGACTTGCCTAATGTCAAGTATACAGTTTTGACCATGACGAGTCAAGGTAAACATTGGTAACTAATGAAATCTTTATTTAGTTGGGTATTAGTTTGCTAGGGCTGCTGTAACAAAGTATCACAAACTGGGTGGCTTGAACAATAGAAATTTGTTTCCTCACAGTCCAGAAGTCTGAAATCAATGTTTTGTTTTGTTTTGTTTTTGAGGAAGATTATCCCTGAGCTAACTACTGCCAATCCTCCTCCTTTTGCTGA